CATTGGATAGAATAATAGGCTGGAAAATAGAAAAAGAGAAGGGCATTATAGGGGAAATTGGCTCACATTATGAAAAACACTTCTAACAAATGCTGGCATAAATGCGGGGAGACTGGTACTTTTTCACACATGTGGTGGGACTGCTCTGAAATCCAAAAATATTATAATACTGTATTGTCGAAGGCTTTCATGGCTGGAATCACTAGGTTCTTGTGGGTTTTTTTCAGGCTATAGAGCCATGTTCTAGAGGCATTTCTCCTGAAGTTTCGCCTGCATCTATGGCAAGCATCCTCAGAGGTAGTGACCTCACTATCTCTGAGGATGCTTGCCATAGATGCAGGCGAAACGTCAGGAGAAATGCCTCTAGAACATGGCTCTATAGCCCGAAAAAACCCACAAGAACCTATTATAATACTGTTAGAGAAGTAATAAAGGAAATAATAGAGCAAAATCTACATTGGAATAAAGCTCGATTTCTGTCCCTCACAATAGAGGGACAGAGGGAAACAACGAATGGTCAGATATATTGAAATTTATGATAGCCGCTATACATGCCACAACCGTCAGAGGTTGGAAAGATAAAACAAGGTGGGACCTGAAAACCTGGTGGTCTTATCTCTCTGAATATTTAATTAATGATTTCATCTATGAAAAGAAAAATAAATACTTGAATATTCAGTCAAGACAAGATTGGTTTAGGAAATGGTCCTGTTTAATCGACAAAACGGAAGGAAAAGATAGGTACGGAACTTTAAATCAGGCCTTCCAGACAATTAAATCAATGAACTGATTTAAGTAAACCCAGATGGGGGTGGGAGGGAGGTGGGAAGAGGGTGGTCAGGGTGGGCGGGTGGGATGGGGGGTTTAGAGGGGTTAAGATATACGGTCAGAGGCGACCCTAGGTAATTTTCAACGGTAAGCAAACAGTATTTTTGGCGCCCCCCCCCCAACCAATCATTGATATATATTTTCTGTTTGTCGTGGGAGTTCTGTGTGCCATATCTGGTTCAATTCCATCATTGGTGGAGTTCAGAATGCTCTTTCATTGTAAGTGAACTATTGTTCATTCGTTCAGTCATCTCTGACTCTTCGTGACCTCATGGACCAGCCCACGCCAGAGCTCCCTGTTGGCCGTCACCACCCCAGCTCCTTCAAGGTCAGTCCAGTCACTTCAAGGATGCCATCCATCCATCTTGCCCTTGGTCGGCCCCTCTTCCTTTTACCTTCCACTTTCCCCAGCATAATTGTCTTCTCTAGGCTTTGCTGTCTCCTCATGATGTGGCCAAAGTACTTCAACTTTGTCTCTAGTATCTTTCCCTCCAGTGAGCAGCCGGGCTTTATTTCCTGGAGGATGGACTGGTTGGATCTTCTCGCAGTCCAAGGCACTCTCAGAACTTTCCTCCAACACCACAGCTCAAAAGCATCGATCTTCCTTCGCTCAGCCTTCCCTAAGGTCCAGCTCTCACATCCGTAGGTTACTACAGGGAATACCATGGCTTTGACTAGGCGGATCTTTGTTGCCAGTCTGATGTCTCTACTCTTTACTATTTTATCGAGATTGGACATTGCTCTCCTCCCAAGAAGTAAGCATCTTCTGATTTCCTGGCCACAGTCTGCATCTGCAGTAATCTTTGCGCCTAGAAATACAAAGTCTGTCACGGCCTCCACATTTTCTCCCTCTATTTTCCAGTTGTCAATCATTCTTGTTGCCATAATCTTGGTTTTTTTTGATGTTTAGCTGCAACCCGGCTTTTGCGCTTTCTTCTTTCACCTTGATTAGAAGGCTCCTCAGCTCCTCCTCGCTTTCGGCCATCAGAGTGGTGTCATCTGCATTTCTGAGGTTGTTAATGTTTCTTCCAGCAATTTTCACCCCATCTTTGCATTCATCAAGCCCCGCACATTGCATGATGTGTTCTGCATACACGTTAAAAAGGTTTGGTGAGAGTATGCAGCCTTGCCGTATGCCTTTCCCAATCTTGAACCAGTCTGTTGCTCCATGGTCAGTTCTGACTGTTGCTACTTGGTCCTTGTACAGATTCCTCAGGAGAGAGACAAGGTGGCTTGGGATGCCCATCCCACCAAGAACTTGCCACAATTGATTATGATCCACACAGTCAAAGGCTTTAGAATAGTCAATGAAGCAAAAATAGATGTGAACTATACATCCCAGTAACTACAACTCGCATATGTCAAGGTCTATTTTTCCCCAAGAGCGCCTCAAGAGCGCCCCTGGGCAAAATCAACTATACTGCAAATGCTTACTTTGCATAATGGGTTGAGCCGCCCCTGTATATCGTAAAGGGAAGCACAATTGGAACCTGTATCCTAGCCATAAAAATTGTAATCAGTTTTTGATATTATCTTTTAGATGGCTAAAGTTTGTATTGTATTGTTTTGTTATCTGTATGGAGAAATTAAGAAAAAATTCAAAAAAAAAAAAAAAAGGGCCAAACCGAGGCACCACCCACAGTCATCCAGAAGACAATGCCAGTTTAAAAGCCTGTATGTGGGTGCATGCCTACAGAGAGAAACCAGAAGCGTTACAAGACAAACAAGATCGCAAATAAGAAAAAAAGAAAGCCCTAACGGAAATAGCTTTTTTCAGCCAGGATCACAGCTGCTCCGTGAAAGAGCTTTGCTGTTTTGGCTGAAAAAAAAAATCTCTATGAAAAAGAACAAAGATTTGTTAAAAATGCCCAATTATTTTGCCTTGGCTTGCAATGCAGTTATGGAGCAGTGCGGAAGGAGGCAAAGAGAAAGAGGAGAACAGCTGTGCTTGCTTCTTGTTTTTTTTCCAGAATTCCTTATCTCCCTTTCGCATCCTCACATCTTGCAGGCCACCTGAATGATAGAAAGCAGTGCAGCAAATTCGGCTGCAAATCACTTGTATTTAACTTCTCCGTTGGCACTGCTTGGGTTGCTGGGATGGATAGCTGGATTATGCTGTCCTTTCGGTTTCCCACAACGCCCCTGACCTAGCCTCTTCCTGAAGTATTATGGTATTTATTTCAAACCACGACTGCATGTTGATATTGGGGATGCTGATCCTTGCTGCAACTACACTAGAATGAATGCAGTTTAATGTTAGAGTCTTGCTTATCCGACCTTCGCTTATCCGACATTCTGTCTTATCCGACGCTCTTATCTGATGCCCTTCTTTCCCACCAGTATTTCCCTTTCGATTAAAGGAGCGCTCCCCAACTCTCTCTCTATTCCCAATAAGTGAAAAAGGCAAAACAAGGAGAAGGAACAGGGTGGAAAGGGGAAAAAGAGGCAGGACCAGAAGTGGAAGCGTCCTGCCTCCTTTCCTCTGTGATTTCCATGCTCTTCTTCCGCATCCAGGCACTTCCTGCTGGGCCGCTCTAGTCCCGAGACATTGCCTTGCCTTAACCCTTCGAGTCCTTGTTAGGATTCTAGGTGTCTAGTGCTGTGCTGGACGGGTAACAATAGGAGACTCCATATTATCTGACATTTTCATTTATCCGATGTTCTGCCGGCCTGTTTTTGTGTCGGAAAAGCGAGACTCTACTGTATTTTAACTGCCGTAATTCAAGTTGTACTTTTACAAGGGCTTTAGTCTTCTCTGCCAAAGAGAACATTTGCCCCACCAAATGACAACTCCCAAGATTTTCATAGCTTCGAGTCATAGAAGTTATGGAAAAGTCTTCAGAGACTTCTCAACACTATCTTAATCCAGACTGAGGGTGCGTCTACACTGCAATAAAACATTTAGTCAATATCAGGCATGGGCAAACTCTGGCCCTCCATGTATTTTGGACTCCAACGCCCACAATTCATAACAGCCTCAGGCCTTTCCTTTTCTTAAGTGGCTGATAGCGAAAAGGAAGGGGCCTAAGGCTGTTAGGAATTGCGGGAGTTGGAGTCCAAAACACCTGAAGGTTCGAAGTTTGCTCATGCGTGGTCAATACTGTCTTGTTGAATGTTGTTACTTGTGTTCTTACAACGACAGTGCTGGGGGTTATGTCACACAACTGGGAGAAATTACTTGGTCGACTACAAGTCCCTGAGATGTAATCCAAAATGTAACATTCCCAATCTCCATACATTGGCTCAGTGGTTCTCAACCTGCCTAATGACGCGCCCCCTTCATACAGTTTCTCATGTTGTGGTGGCCCCCAACCATAAAATTGTTTTCGATGCTACTTCATAATTGTAAAATTTGCTACTGTTGGGGGGTGGGGATTGATTTTGTCATTTGGGACTTGTAGTTGCTGGGATTTATAATTCTTGTACAATCAAAGAGCATTCTGAACTCCACCAATGATGGAATTGAACCAAACTTGGCACACAGCTCCCATGACTAAGAGAAAATACTGGAAGGGTTTGGTGGGCATTGACCATGAGTTTTGGAGTTGTAGTTCACCAAATCCATTGAGTCCAGTTGAGTGTGGACTCAATGATGGAGATGGATCAAACTTGGCACAGATCCTCAATATGTCCAAGTGAGTCGCCGATAGGCTGAGAAAGGCGGTATACAAGTATACTAAATAAATAAATAAATAAGTGTGAACACTTTTGGAGTTTGGAGAAAATAGACCTTGACATTTGGGAGTTGTAATTGCTGGGATTTGTAGTTCACCTACAATCAAAGAGCACTCTGAACCCAGCCCACAATGGATCTTCACCAAACTTGGCACACCACCTACATGACCAACATTGAATACTGGTGGGGTTTGGGGGGGGGGGTGTTTTTGAATTCTGGGAGTTGTAGTTCATCAACACCAAAAAGGAAGAGAAGGACAGATGGAGCGATCTTCAGCCTTTTCTGTCAAAGGGGTTCCTAAGATCATCAGAAATATTTGTTTTCTGATGGTCTTTGGCAACCCCTCTGAAACCCCCCTTGTGACCCTCCCGGGTGTCCCGAACCCCAGGTTGAGAAACACTGCATTAGATAGACATGATTGCAGAATGCACAAACCTTCCCCACAGAGTGGGCTGCTCTTCCACCCGAAATGTATGCCTGCCCTCTTTCCTCTTACCTTGGGCTCGATGGGTTTCCACCCGTTGGCTTTGAGCTGGTGAAGTTCGGCGAACTTAATGCTAACATCCTCAATGGAGAGCTGGAGGAGGTCCCAAAATCCAGCCAGGTCCTGGAAAGTGGGCATGGGGAAAGCGTTGGGGTCCTGGCAAGGGGGAGAAGAAAAGGGATAGGATGTCAGGCAGCACCTCCATTAGGAGTCACAGATTAGTGCACTCAGACTTACCAGGATGATGATAGACAAGGAAATGCTGAATGTAGTAACAGAGTTGTACTTTGTGGATTTCCCTAGCTCCCCTCTAGTCTTTTTTCTGAATTAAAACTACAGGAAATCAGATTCCACCTGAACATGAGGAAGAACTTCCTAACTCTGAGAGCTGTTCAACAGTGGAACTGTCTGCCCCAAAGTATGGTGGAGGCTCATTCTTTGGAGGCTTTTAAACAGAGGCTGGATGGCCATCTGTCGGGGGTGCTTTGAATGTGATTTTCCTGCTTTTTGACTTTTAAACTGAGGCTTGAGTTTCCCAGTTTGCCAGTTGAGAGTTGGAGCTTGGAAACGGTGTTAGTGAGAGCAGTTTAGGGTTTTGGAGAAGAACTTTGGGTCAGTCTTTTGTTTAGTATTCAGGGTAGCTATAGAGAAGTATAGCTAGACTACTGTGGGGAGCAGAACCCCGTCAGTGGTCTGTTCTTTTCCTTAGGGAAGGCTAGTTCAGGTTTTGGCTAGATTCCTAAGGGGGATTTTTGTGGGAGTTACTTTCAGAGATTCATTTCCTGAAGTAATTTTCTGTGTGGAAACTTCAAGACTTGCACCGGGATTGTGGAGCAGCAGGCTGAGTATCAGCTGCATTAAGATCACTCCAACCAAAAGGTCATGAGTTCGAAGCCAGCCCAAGTTGGAGTGGGTTTCCAACCAATTATGTGTAGCCTGTTGTCGACCTTTGCAATCCGAAAGACAGTTGCATCTGTCAAGCAGGAAAACAAGGTACCACATTAAAAGTATGGGGAGGCTAAATTAACTGATTTATGAGGCCATAAAGAAGACTCCAGCAAAGCATTCCAGTGGGGAAGCATGCAGGAATGCGGAAGTGCTTCATCAGCGTCACAGATGAACGATGAAAGCGACAGCTCCACAGCGGCCAGAAAAAAGTTAAATAGCCTCTGTCTATGTCTGCATATGTTGTATGTCAAAATTGACATTGAATGTTTGCCATATATGTGTACATTGTAATCCGCCCTGAGTCCCCTGCGGGGTGAGAAGGGCGGAATATAAAAGCTGTATATAAATAAATAAATAACCCAGATGTTTTTAAGATCTCTTCTCAAACGTAACCACAAGCTTTGTATGCCAGATTTTTACTGAAACCATCAAGCTTTTGTACCTGAAATATCCAAGTCTGTTCAATAAAAGTTCTTGTTATTTTTACCAACTTATACCAGCCTCAGTATGAATACCTTTGTGGTAAAAGTGTTATTCAAGTCAGCTTTTTACCAGCCTCCAAGAAAACTAGAGTAACACAGAGTGTGTTACTGAATAACCTCTCAATATTACCTCAGCCTGTTCTTTAGTAATATGGTGGCAGCGGAAATATTTTAAAGAATCATTTTTAAGTCTTTCAGTTCCAGTGATTCCCAGTTCCTATCTTCTAAATATACAGTTGTTTTCAACAACCATTACTCCCTCTATACTTTGGTGAGCTAATCTGTAGTGGTGTCATCGTTTATAATTTGGTGAGCAGCTGTGTGATTGTTATAATTTTAGTGAAGCAGCGTTGGGATTTTTAGTATCGAATAAAGTTCCCTACTTTTCCCCTTCGATTGTTATAATTTGGTGGTACAGCGGTGCGATTCGTTATAGATGCCCTGTGAATGCTGTGCCTTAACTTTGCCATAAGTTGGAAGTGGTTATTACCAAACAATTTTATTGATTAGCCAGTTGGCCTTATCAAAAAACAGACAGTGCAAACACAACATACAACATACATCTAGTCCTCTTAAAATAAAATACAAATATACAGATATTTGTCAGCTTGAAACCAATATAGCTTAAGTTGGAAATGACTTGAAGGCGCACAACACTATTATTATTATTATTATTATTATTATTATTATTATTATTATTATTATCTTTATTTGTGCCCCGCTAACATCTCCCGAAGGACTCGGTGCGGCTTACAAAGGCCAAGGCCCTCAATAAAACAACAGCATAACAAAAACAACAATAAAACTCAAAAAGCAAATCAAAAAACATTAAAGCAATAACAGTAAACATTAAACAATAACATCGTGACACATTTAAAAAACTAAGGGCCGGGCCAAATGCAATGAATAAGATTAAAAGTGCTGGACATGACAGGTGAAATGTAAGGATTTTAGAGTAGGTGCGATGTGCAGACAATCTTAAATCTCTAATAAAGTGCGTTTGGGACATGATGCTGGGAGTTTCCTATTCTGGAAAGGCACACTGGAAGAGCCAGGTTTTCAAGCTCTTCCTAAAGACAGCCAACATTGGGGCTTGTCTGATGTCCTTGGGGAGAGAGTTCCAGAGTCGGGGGGCCACCACGGAGAAGGCCCTGTCGCTCGTCCCCACCAAACGCGCTTGCGACGCAGGTGGAATCGTGAGCAGGGCCTCTCCAGATGAACGGAGGGATCGTGTGGGTTCATATACGGAGATGCGGTCACGCAGGTAGGCGGGTCCCAAACCTTTTAGGGCTTTGTAGGTAAGCACCTGCACCTTGAATTGGGACCGGAAAATGAACGGCAGCCAATGGAGCTCCTTAAACAGGAGGGTTGACCTCTCCCTGTAAGGAGCACCAGTTAACAACCTGGCCGCCACCCGTTGGACCAGTTGGAATTTCCGAGCCATTTTCAAGAGCAGCCCCACGTAGAGCGCATTACAGTAGTCCAATTTAGAGGTGACCAAGGCATGGACCACCCGGGCCAGATCAGCCTTTACGAGGTACGGTCTTAGGTCTTAGGTGATATTAACAGGATGCCAGTCTAGGCATGCACAAGATATCTTCTTACCATATTCTGCTGACAGAGGCGGTAGAACTGTTGGAATTTCTGGTTCATCAAGAGCTGGGCACTGCCCACTGCACTTCGGATCTTCTCAAGGACTGAGGAGACGGACAGAAGAAGCAAGGTCAGTCATGAAATGGCCTTTTATTATTATTATTTCAAGTCATTCTCAACATTGGAGCACCTCTGCCAGTTTTTCAAGTTTGAGAGTCACACTAGGAATACTACTAAATATACTTTTCCATCTAAACATTTATTTATTTATTTATTTATTTATTTATTTATTTATTATTTGAACTTGTATGCCGCCACTCCCCTGGGGCTCGGAGCGGCTTACAAGAATGGCTAAAATCTAACAAAATTTAAAAGCAATTTAAAACAATTTAAAAACAGCAATATCAAACATTAAAAGCCTGTCGAAACAGGTATGTCTTACATGCCCTGCGGAAAGCTGGTAAGTCCCGCAAGGCACGGACTTCAGGTGGCAGAGTATTCCAGAGTGATGGTGCCACTGCTGTGAAGCTCTGCGTCTGGTTGCTGTTAGACGCAAGGTCTTGACACTGGGAATTTCCAATAGATCTTGGTCCTCAGAACGGAGGGATCTCTGGGGTTGGTAGGGGGTGAGGCGGTCCCTCAGGTACATCGGCCCCAGACCATGCAAGGCCTTAAAGGTGAGTACCATCCCTTTGAAAGTGATCTGGTGCTCAATTGGTAACCAATGCAGCTGTAGTAAGATTGGTGTTATGTGGCATCTCATCGGAATTCCCGCAAGAAGCCGAGCAGCTGCATTTTGTACCAACTTGAGCTTCCGGATCACTGACAGAGGAAGGCCAATGTAGAGGGCGTTACAGTAGTCCAGTCTTGAGATGACCGTGGCCTGGATCACCGTAGCTAGGTCGTCCCTGGACAGGTAGGGGGCCAGCCGTCTAGCCTGCCGCAGATGAAAAAAGGCGGTTCTGCTAACGGCGGAGACCTGGGCCTCCATCGTCAGCAGAGGGTCCAAAAGGACTCCCAGACTCTTTACCAATGATGACGGCCGTAGCGCCTCGCCATCCAGGGTAGGCAGCTGGATATCCTCACTGCCCGGTTGACCCAGCCATAGGATCTCCGTCTTTGCTGGATTCACCCTCAACCTGCTGGCACGCAGCCATCCAGTAACAGCCTCGAGGCACTGATGGAAACAATCGGATACAGAGTCCGGTCGGCCTTCCATCTTCAGCACCAGCTGAGTGTCATCGGCGTACTGGTAACACTCAAGCCCAAAACCTCGAACCAGCTGAGCAAGTGATCGCATATAGATGTTAAACAACAGGGGGAGAGAATGGCCCCCTGAGGAACCCCACAAGATAGAGGAGACCTCTCAGAGACCAGGCCTCCCCTCTCCACTCGCTGTCCATGGTGGTGAAGAAAGGAGGACAGCCAGTTTAAAGCTGTCCCCCTGACTCCAACAGCAGCAAGGCGGTGGGTCAAAAGATTGTGGTCAACTGTGTCAAATGCTGCTGTGAGATCCAATAACACAAGCAGTGCTGACCTGCCCTGGTCAAGCTGGCATCGAAGTGATCCGTGATGGAGACCAGCACAGTCTCTGTCCCGTGCCCCGCACGGAAGCCGGACTGGAAGGAACATGTAGTTAAAACAACGACAACAACAAAAATCCAGGATGCTATTTATCCATCCCTTTTATTTATGTATGTCTCACACTTTGGTTCAGAAAGCCCAAGATGTTTAACAGTCTTTGGAAACCCAATGCCAAATGCAATCATCTTAGGTGTAATATCCCACTGTGGTTGATGATACGGAAAACCACTAAGAGACTGAAGAGAATGAAGAGAAAAATAAAGAACTTTATAGGCTGTTGTGTGTTTTCCAAGCTGTATGGCCATATTCCAGAAGCATTCTGTCCTGACATTTTGCCTGCATCTATGGCAGGCATCCTCAGAGGTTGTGAGGTCCTCACAACCTTTGAGGATGCCTGCCATAGATGCAGGAGAAACGTCAAAAGAGAAGAGAACATGGTCATACAGCCTGGAAAACACACAACAACCCAATGATTCCGGCCATGAAAGCCTTCGACAATACAATAACTTTATTCTCCTGAGTAACGTTATTCATCAGGGCAATACAGGTTGTTTCAGGGCTGTTTCTAGACCTGGATCCAGATTGTTTCACCTGGGAACACCTGAAACTTGAGGAACACCTCAGTTGCCTTGCTCAGGAAGGGAGATTTGCAACCAGGAGGTAAAAGTTCAGGCCCCAGAGGAGGAGTGGACAAAATGTATTCTCCAAATACATCTTTAAAGTTTGGACTAAACCCAAGTGGATTCACACACCACTGACACAGAAGCATGCTGGTGTTGAGAGGAAAGATGGCAGGTGAGATGGCAGGTGAGATCCCACCAACCAAGCACTTTTCCAAGTGAGAGACAAAGAGAGAGACAGAGAGTGTTAGTTATCAAATAACACTGCTGATCTGCTATATTCCACACCAACTCCAGGACAACATCTATGGAAACCTGGGATTTGCATTTTAAAGGAATGCTCAGCCAGAGAGCTCTTGGTCCTCACTAAACAACAAACTCAAGAAGTCCATAGGATGTTGCAATGTGTGTTAAAGTGGATCATAGCATTATAACAGCATAGTAAAGGTAAAGGTTTCCCCTGATATTTAGTCTAGTCATGTCTGAATCTAGTGCTCACCTCCATTTCTAAGCCGAAGAGCCGGCGTTGTTCGTAGACACCTCTAAGTTCATGTGGCCAGCATGACTGCATGGAGTGCCATTACCTTCCCGCCAAAGCAGTACCTATTGATCTACTCTCTTTTGCATGTTTGATCTACTCACTCCAGGGAGTGGAGTGAGTTCCCACTGTTAGGCCCAGCTTCTGCCAACTGCTAGGTTGGCAGAAACTGGGCCTAACAGTGGGAACTCACTCCACTCCCTGGATTCAAACTGCTGGCCTTTCGGTCAGCAAGTTCAGCAGCTTACCTTCTCGCAGAAGCAGAATCTATTGATCTACTCACATTTGCATGTTTTCGGATTGCTAGGTTTGCAGAAGCTTGGCCTAACAGCAGGAGCTCACCCTGCTCCCGGGTTCGAACCGCCAATCTTTCAGTCAGCAAGTTCAGCAGCTTACCTTCCCGCATAAGCGGTATCTATTGATCTACTCACATTTGCATGTTTTCGAATTGCTAGGTTGGCAGAAGCTGGGCCTAATAGCAGGAGTTCACCCCGCTCCCCAGATTCGAACTGGCAACCTTTCAGTCAGCAAGTTCAGCAGCTTACCTTCCCGCATAAGCGGTATCTATTGATCTACTCACATTTGCATGTTTTCGAATTGCTAGGTTGGCAGAAGCTGGGCCTAACAGCAGGAGTTCACCCCGCTCCCCGGATTCGAACCGCCAACCTTTCAGTCAGCAAGTACAGCAGCTTACCTTCCCGCATAAGCGGCATCTATTGATCTACTCATGTTTTGCATGTTTTTGAACTGCTAGGTTGGCAGAAGCTGGGCCTAACAGTGGGAACTCACTCCACTCCCTGGATTCGAACTGCTAACCTTTCGGTCAGCAAGTTCAGCAGCTTACCTTCCCGCATAAGCGGTATCTATTGATCTACTCACATTTGCATGTTTTCGAATTGCTAGGTTGGCAGAAGCTGGGCCTAACAGCAGGGGCTCACCCTGCTCCTGGGATTCGAACCGCCAACCTTTCGGTCAGCAAGTTCAGCAGCTTACATTTCGCAGAAGCGGTATCTATTGATCTACTCACTTTTGCATGTTTTCGAACTGCTAGGTTGGCAGAGGCTGGGCCTAAGAGTGGGAGCTCACGCCACTCCCTGGATTCGAACCGCCAACCTTTCAGTCAGCAAGTTCAGCAGCTTACCTTCCCGCAGAAGTGGTATCTATTGATCTACTCACTTTTGCATGTTTTTGAATTGCTAGGTTGGCAGAAGCTGGGACTAACAGTGGGAGCTCACCCTGCTTCTCGGATTCGAACCGCCAACCCTTCTGTCAGCAAGTTCAGCAGCTCAGTGGTTTAATCCGCTGCACCACCAGGGGGCCCTTTTATAATAGCATAGTGTGATTACGAATGAGAGAGGGATGGAGAAGGTGCAACTACGCTATAGAAATAATGCAGTTTAATTGCCATGGCTCAATGCTATAGAATCATGGAAGTTGTAGCTCTACAGGCTCTTTAGCTTGCTTTGTCAAAGAGTTCTGATGACTCACCAAACTATCAATCTCAAAATTTCATATTCTTGAGCAATGACAAAGTGGTGTCAAACAGCATTAATTCTGCAGTGTAGATACAACTTGAGAAAGAATAAGAGAGGGAGAGGGAGGGAGAGGAAACTCACTTTCTTCTGGTAAGTCATAATCTTCAGCCTCCAATTCCATCTGCTGGCACCAGCCTTCCATCTTCTCGACTTCTGCCTGCAGGAGCTTGATGAACCACTCGCCGTCCCGGTGGCAAGGTGATGCTCGGCCAGAATCTGGCAGGCTGCGCGAGCCCCGATCCATCCAGGAATTCTGGCGGGGCACTTCCATGGTGTCGTACTGCATCTGGTAGTCTTCTCTGTAGGCCCACTGGCCTTGCGTATGCACCGTCTTGTAGACCGAGTATTGCCGTGTGGACTCGGGCTCCGAGGAATGGCGCTGGAAGGAGCGTCCAAACTGCAGGGCCTTGTCTTCGGTGGCCACAGCCAGCCCAGCCAGGCCTTCCAGCTCCAGGTCAGCCTGCACACCAGCCGTCACGCTGTTGGACCGCTTGAACCGAGAACGCCTGGGGCAAGGAGGAAAGACGTTTAGGGTGCCTTCTACTTTATTTATTTTATGTTTTTCATACATTTATATATGGCAAAAATTTAATGGCTCACAATATATAAAAAACTAGTATAAAAGCAAACTGTAGCATATAACTATAAATTAAAATTGAACCATATTAAATAGAGAAACATAATCTAGACCAGGGGTCCTCAAACTATGGCCCAGGGGCCAGATACGGCCCTCCAAGGTCATTTACCCGGCCCTCGATCAGGGTCAACCTAAGTCTGAAACGACTTGAAAGCACAGAACAACAACAACAATCCTATTGCATCAGCCAAATGCAGGCACACACTTCCCATTGAAATACTAATACGGTTACCGTATATTCTGATGTATAAGACTATTTTTTAACCCAAGAAAATTTATTATTCATTTACGAAATTTATATGCTGCCGTTTTCACCCCAAAGGGGACTCAGAGTGGCTTACAAGATATATATACATACAATATATTATATTATTAGCATAGTACAATATCAGTATTAAATATTACTATATTGTATTATACCATTAAAGGTAAAGGTAGTCCCCTGACATTAAGTCCAGTCATGTCTGACTCTGGGGTGTGGTGCTCATCTCCATTTCTAAGCCGAAGAGCCAGCATTGTCCGTAGACACCTCCAAGGTCATGTGGCCAGCATGACTGCATGGAGCGCCGTTACCTTCCCGCCGGAGCGGTACCTATTGATCTACTCACATTTGCATGTTTTCGAACTGCTAGGTTGGCAGAAGCTAGGGTTGACAGTGGAAGCTCATGCCGCTCCCCGGAATCGAACCTGTGACCTTTCGATCAACAAGCTCAGCAGCTCAGTGCTTTAACCCACTGTAATATTATTAGTAACATTACATTAATAATAATAATAATAATAATAATAATAATAATAATCTTTATTTATACCCCGCCACCATCTCCCGGCTGAGGACTCGGGGTGGCTTACATGAGGCCAAGCCCAGACAACAAATTACAGCAGAATAAAACTGAAAACGCAAACAATAAACAACAACATCATAATTGCATCACACATATAACAATATAAAATTACAATAAGCACAATATATAGTTATAATATATTATTATTATTAGTATTATATTGCATTACATTATAATATTATAAATATCATATGTATATACAATATATTATATTCCATTATATTATATTATAAACATAGCACAGGAGACAAGGTGGAACTGTCTTCTGCCCCCCTCTCTCTTCACTCTGGTCCATGTGAGTTGTGTGCATTGAGCGATGGCACCTGGTCATTGACATGTGTTGTGTCTCCTATGCACTAAAGGGTCTTGGACATCTTATACCTTACATTATACGTGTGTGCTGTGTGCACTGAGCGATGGCACCTGGTCATTGACATGTGTTGTGTCTCCTATGCACTAAAGGGTCTTGGACATCTTATATCTTACATTATACGTGTGTGTTGTGTGCACTGAGCGATGGCACCTGGTCATTGACATGTATTGTGTCTCCTATGCACTAAAGGGTCTTGGACATCTTATACCTTACATTATACGTGTGTGTTGTGTGCAGTGAGCGATGGCACCTGGTCATTGACATGTATTGTGTCTCCTATGCACTAAAGGGTCTTGGACATCTTATACCTTACATTATACGTGTGTGCTGTGTGCACTGAGCGATGGCACCTGGTCATTGACATGTGTTGTGTCTCCTATGCACTAAAGGGTCTTGGACATCTTATACCTTACATTATATGTGTGTGTTGTGTGCACTGAGCGATGGCACCTGGCTATTGACATGTGCTGTGCAATGTTGCTATTCTGCATGCAGATTGTGTAGCACTAATGCAGTTCACCTCTGCATGCAGATGTTCCCGCAATGCTGGAGGGCTGTTGGTTTGCGGACTTTGTCTGTGGAGGAAGCCAAGCCTAGACCTTTTCTTCGTTCCGATTTACATAAAAACCCTCCCCACTATAATCAATCCATATTTTTATTTATTTGTCGTGTCAGAACAGCCAGTCCATTATATTACATTTCTAACAGAACAAAGCAAACAAACAGAAAAATACACAACTTGTGAGTTTGGTAGCTGGTTAAATGTCCTTTGACCAGTATCTGGCCACTTGGAGTGCTTCTGGTGTTGCTGCAAGAAGGTCCTCCATTGTGCATGTGGCAGGGCTCAGGTTGCATTGCAGCAGGTGGTCAGTGGTTTGTTCTTCTCCACACTCGCATGTCGTGGATTCTACTTTGTAGCCCCATTTCTGAAGGTTGGCTCTGCATCTTGTGGTGCCATAGCGCAGTCTGTTCAGTGCCCTCCAAGTCGCCCAGTCTTCTGTGTGCCCAGGAGGGAGTCTCTCATTTGGTATCAGCCATTGGTTGAGGTGCTGGGTTTGAGCCTGCCACTTTTGGACTCTCGCTTGCTGAGGTGTTCCAGCGAGTGTCTCTGTAGATCTTAGAAAACTATGTCTAGATTTAAGTCGTTGACGTGCTGGCTGATACCCAAACAGGGGATGAGCTGGAGATGTCTCTGCCTTGGTCCTTTCACTATTGGCTGCTACTTCCCGGCGGATGTCAGGTGGTGCAATACCAGCTAAGCAGTGTAATTTCTCCAGTGGTGTAGGGCGCAGACACCGCATGTCTCATTACGAGCCACATCCACTGTTTTAGTGTGGTGAGATGTGTTCCACACTGGGCATGCATACTCAGCAGCACATTATATACTGTGACTTTCTTCCAAAACATGGAAACCAAAGAGGCTGGGGGATTTAACCACTGTCCTCCAACAGTAACAGGCAATGGATGCAATCCATCAGATTTTGAAGTCCAATTGAACCATCTGTCTTGAAGATCCTGGCTGAGATGGATGGGAGTTGCAGTCCAACCACATCAGAGGTCTAAGGACACACGTTCCGCATGCATAAGAGCCAGCGTCAGGAGTCTTTGCACGTGCGGTAAGCTAGCTTTAGGAATGTCAGAGAGCCGGCATCTCTCTTTGAATCCCTAGAGATGAGAGATTGTCTGTGTATGTAGGAGAGCGCATGGAAAAGTCAGACAAGCTGAGGCATCCCTGAATTCTTTTGGTGGCACTGCCTGCTCCCTCCTTCCCTCCCGCCCTCCTGTTCCCGTCTCTGTTTCTATGGCAACCAGCAGCGGATGGATGCTGGGATGGATGCTGAAGGACCAAAGAGAGCGGAAGGAGGGGAAAGAGCAGGAGAGATCAAGATAGGCGAGAGAGAGAGTAATCCCAAAGAAAAGAAAAGAGGACCATCCACGACTTGAATGAAGACATGGGACGTTCAGGGTGGTAGTCCCACCATGTCCTTTATGTATCTGTGAACTGAACGGCAGGAAAATGAAGTTTGATTTTACTTGCTGGGGATCTTTCAAGGAATTTTGGAGAGGGGTGCCCATCCCATAAGCCGAACACACACACAAACACAAAAGGGTAGGCTTTCTTTGAGAGATACTGGGGCGTAGTGGTTTGAGTGTTGGGCAATGACTCTGGAGAGCAGGGTTTGAGTCCTGTCTTGGTCATGGAAACCCACTGGGTGACTTTGCATGAGTCACATACTCTCAGCTCCAGAAAACCCCACCATAGGTTTGCCTTAAGGTAAAGGTAAAGGATTTCCCCTGACATTTAAGTCCAGTCGTGTCCGACTCTGGGGTTGGTGTTCATCTCCATTTCTAAGACGAAGAGCCAGCGTTGTCTGTAGACACCTCCAAGGTCATGTGGCCAGCATGACTGCATGGAATGCCGTTACCTTCCTGCCGGAGTGGTACCTATTGATCTACTCACATTTGCATGTTTTCAAATTGCTAGGTTGGCAGAAGCTGGAGCTGACAACAGAAGCTCACGCTGCTTTCCAGATTCGAACCTGCGACCTTTCATAGAATCATAAAATCATAGAATCAAAGAGTTGGAAGAGACCTCATGGGCCATCCAGTCCAACCCCCTGCCAAGAAGCAGGAATATTGCATTCAAATCACCCCTGACAGATGGCCATCCAGCCCCTGTTTAAAAGCTTCCAAAGAAGGAGCCTCCACCACACTCCAGGGCAGAGAGTTCCACTGCTGAACGGCTCTCACAGTCAGGAAGTTCTTCCTCATGTTCAGATGGAATCTCCTCTCTTGTAGTTTGAAGCTATTGTTCCGCATCCTAGTTTCCAAGGAAGCAGAAAACAAGCTTGCTCCCTCTTCCCTGTGACTTCCTCTCACATATTTATACATGGCTATCATATCTCAGCCTTCTCTTCTTCAGACTAAACATGCTCAGCTCCTTAAGCCCCTCCTCATAGGGCTTGTTCTCCAGACCCTTGATCATTTTAGTCGCCCTCCTCTGGAGTCATTCCAGCTTGTCAATATCGCTCTTGAATTGTAGTGCCCAGAATTGGACACGATATTCCAGGTGTGGTCATCTTCATTTCTAAGCCGAAGAGCCAGTGCCGTCTGTAAACACCTCCAAGGTAATGTGGCCAGCATGACTGCATGGAGTGCCGTTACCTTCCCGCTGGAGTGGTACCTACTGATCTACTCACATTTGCATGTTTTCAAACTGCTAGGTTGGCAAAAGCTGGAGCTCACAGCAGAAGCTCACACTGCTGCCAGATTCGAACCTGCGACCTTTCGGTCAGCAAGTTCAGCAGCTCAGCAGTTAAACCCACTGCGCCACTGGGGGCTCCCTTAGGTTTGCCTTAGGGCTGCCTTAAGTTGTCATGCAACAACAACAACAACAACAACAACAAGGCTTTCATAATAACTCTAGGGTGCTGATGGACCAAAGAGAGAGGAAGGAGTCACAGAAGACTCAGGAAGGAGTCTTGCTCATAGAAACCCACTGGGTGACTTTGCATGAGTCACACACTCTCAGCCCCGGACAAGCCCACCATAGCTTTGCCTTAGGGCTGGCTTAAGTTGTCATGCAACAACAACAACAACAACAAGGCTTTCATAATAACTCTAGGATGCTGATGGACCAAAGAGAGAGGAAGG